CTACAGAGCATTTATAACACTGACTGGTCATTTGATGCTTCGGAGTGCATCCAGTAATTCTGATAATATCATCGTTTTTGCTCCAATTGTCTCGGGAGGTAGGTTGGTTCACGTAGCAACTGTAGCATTCGGAACTGTTATGGATCAATCCAAGCATAGCATTTGGTGTAGCATTGATAGTATTTGGAAGAAGCAAATGGACCATAGCCATGATGTGTGTGTCAAAAGATCTAAAAATCTCTGTATTACCAACAAATTTTCGATGAAAATTTTGCGTTATATACAATACAAGAATGATTTATTTATTTCATTTCTGCAAAAATATATTTTATATAACTAATTATAAAAGTAATCTTATTTTAAGTTTTTATACTCTTATAAGATTAAATGTAAAAATATAATTATTAGCTACTTTAATATTATTTGCATTATGAAAACTATGAATTTTATATTAACTGTTTAAAATGTCATAATCGAATGTAGAACAAAGAAAATTAGAGAATATAAAAATTAATTCTGATTTTTCTCAACTCCTTTCAGCATGAGAATAGAATAAATACTATAAATGGAGATAGAAAAAGAAATTTGATTGTTCTGAAATTAATTGCTATTTAAAAATTAAAAATCTGTGAAATTTATGAAATTTTCTTATTCTTTATTTTTTATCATATTTTTTTTTCTATTCGTGCAATTTCTAAGAAGAGACCTTTCTAGCTAATAAGTATGACCTTGTGTAAACATTGAAGAAACATTGAAAATTGTCGTGCATGGTCAGTCTTGCGATACTTGACGCACTTATAAAACACAGAATTTAATGAAAGCTGTGCAAATAAAGAATCGAGAAAAACAACTTGCAAAACGTATCGTGCTGCAGATCGCAGAACACGTTTATATCTTACACCGATAGCAGTTACTCAAAAATTTTAATTAACAATGTTATGCCTTTTTTTATTTCTGGCCTTCTCTTGGCTCAGGTAAGAAGCATACACTTATTCATTTTATTTATCGATCTCTTGCACAACAAAAATTCCTTATCGCGATAGAAAAAATGTTCTATAAATAAAATTTAAAAAGTTTGAAAATAATACTTTTCGCAAAATATTTTTTATCAAGCTCCAAAAATGCAGTATTAAATATAGAAATAAATTAAAAATAAATTATAATTAAATATAAAAATACATTAAAGATAAGCTATATTTTTTTTAATTTTCATTGTTATTCTAAATCATCTTGTTGCAATATAAATATCGCGTTTCTTATTGTTACGTAATGAATTTATGTGCGCGATATCTTATTTTCTTGAGATAAGAATTACATCGTGTGACATTGTAAATTTACTGGTATTCACAAACCTATACGTAGAACATGTATGTATTTTACTGCCATCAATAAGTGTCGAATCAAATTAATATTGGAATTTTTCTTTGCAATAATTTTGTAGGGTGACAAGGGAATCTATTTATATATTTTTAGCGCGCAGTGTTTCAAATTACCTTTTTCCTTTTTACACCTCTCTAAATTGAAGACAAATCTGTAAATATAGATTTGTCGAAATCGTAATGCAAACTTGTCCTACTATATCATTTGTTATCATTTACATTTGTGTTGAATGTTCTATAAAGATTTGTTGCTTCAATTGTTCAATTAAACACCAATCTTTTGTTTTTATTTAGAATGAGCATGGCTGCGATCGCTCAAGGATCCGTTACAACTACAACATGGGGTTCTGTAAATGGTCAAGAAATCAAGAAGTTTACGTTGAGAAATGAAGCTCGTCAAGAGGTCGATGTCACAACATATGGTGCGGCGGTGACTGCCATTAGAACGCCAGATAAAGAAGGAAATTTAACGGACGTCGTGCTCGGCTTTGACAACATCGAAGGTATTTTCATAAAAATTATTTGTTCACATATAAACAAATATTTGATAACACGTTCTTGCTCTATTAAATCAATTTTATCATTGCTCAATCTATTCTTAAAATTGTAAAAAAAAATAAATTTAATAAATTGAGAAAAATTCGAGGACTCTCTTTTATATAACAATAATCAATAACATTAAAAAGAGCGAAGTAAGAGTTAAATTACAAATAAAATAAATTTTAATTATAATAAAATATATTTTATTAGGTAAAAAAATTAATATATTGTAATTTATTATATTATTTTCTTGTTTCATTGTGTTAATATAATAATTTTAAAGATTAATTATAGAACATGGTAAATATTTAGGAAGTGGTGCTCCCCCAAAATTGCGGTTTTTTCAGTAATAAACAAAGCTAATTATAAAAAGACGTGTATATCGTGTTTTAAGAGGAGGCTTATGGTTTTTGTAGAAAAAATCCTAATTTTAATAAAAAAAATAAAAGTAGTTATAAGATTCTAAATGTATAAAACAGTATAAATAAATAGAAAGGGCAAAGAGTCAATTAGTTAAACAAACAAATTTAATTCAAAAAATCTTAATATACGAATTAACTAAAAACAAAAACGTTTCAACTCCAATCGGGTCATTTTCAATGTACAATTTGACATGTTTTATAACCAAATTGATTATGGATATAAGAAAAAGTAAAATTAGAATGTGTGTAATTATAACGCATCTTTTCGTCCGCATGAATAAAATACAAGTAGTTATAAGATAATTTAATTTTTTATTGAAATGTTGATATATAAAGTGTTTTAGTTTTCTACATTATCATCTATTTAGACATGAGATCGAAGTAAAACATTCGCAAAAAGGAAAAGAATATATGGACATTCTACTTCTTCCCTGTCCAGGAGGGATGACCGACTTTTCACGTAAACCGAGTTCCATCCAATCTCTTCCCCTGTATGTACGATTTTTTACACAAAGCAAGATCTACCTGAATAAAAAATTATATGCTTTTTTTGGCAAGGAGGAGATAAACTTGCTTTTGTGTAGAATGTCTTGCATTCCATGGTAAGGGAGAAGATAGGATGGACCTAGTTTACATAATACGGTCACTAGAATGATCTTTATATTTATAAACATTTGAAGCATATAGTTGTTAAAAGATTTCTCATATTAAAATGAGGAATAAAACTGTCTTATTTGTTCTTAAAGTATAATTTTTTCTACTTCAAGACAAAATCACAAGCCCATTCTTAAAACATTGTATACATGTGTATACATGCATGTGTCTTTTTAAAACTAGTTTTGTTTGTTACCGAAAAAAACCGCGGTTTTTGGAGGAGCACTATTTCTGAATTTATTACTTAAAATGTAATAAATCAAAATAATTGTACACTGTAAAAAAATACATTAATTTTAAGTAACACAGTAATATTTTAAAACATAAAATACATTTCTAAAGTTTTATAATTAATATGCTTGACATAAAAGTAGCTTTTTATACAGAAATTTATAAGGATATAAATTAAAGTTGCTGGGAAGGGGGGGATAAGATCATTTCAATTGGGAAAGACAACATTTCAGGATACCTTTCATCGAATAATCCATACTTTGGTGCCACCGTTGGACGAGTTGCGAATCGTATCGGCAAAGCAACTTTTGTTGTGGATGGCCAACGTTATAATGTATCCAAGAATACAGGTGAGAACAGCCTCCACGGTGGTACTCGCGGTTGGAGTTTCAAGGTATGGGATGCAACAATTCAAGGCGATTGCGTGGTGATGACTTTGGTCAGTCCGGATGGTGATGAAGGTTATCCGGGATCAGTAACGGCGAGAGTGAGCTTCCAACTGACGAATGATGGAGAGTTGCGCATAGAGATGAAAGCCAAGTCCGAAAAGGCAACGCCGATTAATTTAACGAATCACGGCTATTTCAATCTCGCTGGACACGTACGTAGTACATTTCTTTCTGAAAGTATTTGTGTTTTCGAGAAAGACAAGGAGATAACAATAAATCTTCTCATGCATCATATTCCACATTGAATGAAAAACAAGGAACAAATTGAAAAAGAATAAGTTAGAAAGAACACATACAATGAATGCGGATCGTTTTAGGATATTTTTATCATTATATGCTTTCTACAATAAGTCGTTAGTAATAGATCAGAAGTCGAGAGCGAATTGTAAACGAGTCAGTATAATGTGTCATAATAAGTTATTAATCAATATTTATGTGAAGATGATCAAATTCCACGTTTCTTACAATTTAAAACTTAAATTATGTTATGATTCACATAATATATTTGTCCTGAGGATTACCATCTTTTTGAAATTTTGTAACAATCCAATGTGATTTATTCTGGATATATATAAGCTTCCCCTAAGATTTTTTATGACTTATAATTCTGACGTATCACTAGTGCGATATGAGTGATGACAACTGATTGTAGAAAGTACAAACATATTGCCTTCACCGTACAGGAAACAGATTTATTACACCATAATTTAATTTGTAATTATGTCACAGATACAACAATAACTTTATTAGGCAGCTAATTGATTGATCATAAATAACGAAAGTGTTATGGATCATTATATCATAAATTTGTTTCTCAGGCCACAAACGCAGCAGAACTGTATAAACATGTGATCACGATGAACGCCGATCGTTGGACGGTCACGGATTCCGAAAGCATTCCTACCGGCGAGATTCGGTCAGTTGCGAATAGCGTAATGGATTTGAGGAATCCAACAAAGCTCGGTGATGTCATCGACAAAGTACCGAATGGCGGTTATGACTACAATTTCTGCTTGCCAGAGTCGTCCAATGATGGAAAAGTCAATTTTGTAGCCAAAGTAGTACATCCACCTTCGGGACGTCGTTTGGAAGTATATTCGAATCAACCGGGCGTTCAGTTTTACACGACCAATTCTGTACCTGAAAATGGCATCGTGGGCAAAAACGGAGCAAAGTACTTCAGACACGCCGCTTTTTGCTTGGAAACGCAAAATTATCCCGACGCTGTAAACCATAAAAACTTCCCAAACAGCGTGCTGCGACCAGGCAATACGTACAATCACGTTGTCGTGTATAAATTTGGAGTAGAAAATTAACGCATTTCTGTTTTCTGCTACAAACTTTGAAACATTAAACGAAATTAAACAATAAATAATTTTATATCTGGTATATTTTATATATCTATCGTATACGATAGATTCTACGAAAATCAACCTGTAATAAACTCAACAAAGCTCGGTGATGTCATCGACAAAGTACCGAATGGCGGTTATGACTACAATTTCTGCTTGCCAGAGTCGTCCAATGATGGAAAAGTCAATTTTGTAGCCAAAGTAGTACATCCACCTTCGGGACGTCGTTTGGAAGTATATTCGAATCAACCGGGCGTTCAGTTTTACACGACCAATTCTGTACCTGAAAATGGCATCGTGGGCAAAAACGGAGCAAAGTACTTCAGACACGCCGCTTTTTGCTTGGAAACGCAAAATTATCCCGACGCTGTAAACCATAAAAACTTCCCAAACAGCGTGCTGCGACCAGGCAATACGTACAATCACGTTGTCGTGTATAAATTTGGAATAGAAAATTAACGCATTTCTGTTTTCTGCTACAAACTTTGAAACATTAAACGAAATTAAATAATAAATAATTTTATATCTGGTATATTTTATATATCTATCGTATAGATGTATACGATAGATTCTACGAAAATCAACCTGTAATAAACGATTTAATGTCGATCCGTTTACAAAATTTTACCATACGGCCACATACATATATATCTATGGTAGTTTAAGAAATATTAACAGTGTTACTATATTGTACCCTGTTACTTTTGTCCCCTGTCTTCTGTATTTTATTTCAATGTTAATGTATTTTGAATATAATTATATTCTTATACTTAAATTCATTTTAGAGCAACAAATACACATAATTTGAAAAATATATTTCATCACCAGTTTTTACACAATGAAATACATTTTCAAACTGGAATTTTTCAATATTATTATATTAATGATGTTTATAGTTTGTCGTATTTTATTATCAATTTCTACAAAAATATAACGATTAGGAGGCTTTTGGGAGTAAGGAGTATCTGCCAATTATATCTGTTTCTTCCTCAAAAGAAAAAACTACGTAGTTTTACGAGTACTCGTACTACTATTAAATATGCTATCTCGGTAATATCCATCGACATAGTAAAGGCATGTGCGATATGCACTGTCATCAGACTGAAAATCTATAATATACGTAACGTGAACTATAGATTTTCAGTACTGGCAGTGCATTTCCGAACACGGCCTAAGAATGGACCATCGACATATAGTACTGGACGGAGCATGCGGCGAAATCTCTTTGATCTTTCGTGTTGACGGACCTAGAAAGAGTAAGGACGGAGTCACGGAGTAATAAGAAGGAGATCAAGCTTAAGCGGTCGGCCATGAAAAAGATGGGCTCGAAACACGGTGTCGGAAAAAAACGCTGTATAGAAGAATAGTGTTCCTATAATAAGAGTTAGGACAATAGCGGTCCCAACTTTTGATTGGCTGTCGAAATCCGCCATATGTAATAGCCTACCGCAAGTTTCAAGTAGCAGAAATTCACATGTTTAATATAAGCATTTGACATAAGAATAAATAGAAATTATAATACCCGGGTGTGCAGCTCCAGGATGCTTTAATTCATCTATCAAAAATTTTAAAATGTGTTATTTTCCTTCAAAGGACGTTGAAAGATGTGCTGTTTCGATAAATAATATGAAACGAAAAAATTGGACACCCACTAAATTTTCAGCTTTTGTTTTTTATATATTTCGCCTATATTCTCTACAGTAGTAGTTAACTTACACGCAACAAAATCAGCGTTAACAATGTAAATTTGCTATTAATGGCGGCGGTATGTCTTAACTCTTATATAGGAACACTATAGAAGAACTGATCCGAGCGCACCTGTCGGAAAATACATCGCAACACATCGAAATGTAGTAGGTTAGAGAAAGCGAAATATATCGAAATATATGTCACGTGACAGTCAAATACTTCCAACTTTTCCCACGATGGCGCTAAAATCACATCTTGATTTTTCATGGGGTTTTCCGAAACCGTGCTTCGAGCCCATATTTAAGCGGGGAGCACAGACTTTTGCATAACGCATAAACCATATACATAAAGAATTTGATTGGTCCATTGACTCATGCATAAGAAAATGGGCCAATGAAATTCCTTATGCACATGCTTTATGCATTATGCAAAAGTCTGTGCTCCCCGCTTTATTCTCGAGCTTGATCTCCTTATTACTCCGTGCTGGATATCGATCATGTAACTTTTTTCCTAGGATGAAAAGTGAAAAGTGAAAAATTTCTCCATTAACTTCAATGGCAAAAATTTTCACTTTTTACTTTTCATCTTAGGGCAAAAGTTTCATGATCAATACCCTGGGCACATAGAAAAACGTAAGGCCATAAACGTAATCAGTAAACAAATTGACGAATCACAGTTAAGAACGTAAGCTGCCGCCGCACGTTTTCAACTGTGATTGGTCAATTCGCTTACTGATTACGTTTACGGCCTTACGTTTTTCTATCTGCCATGGTTAAGCGGGGAGCACAGATTTTTGGATAACGCATAAACCATATACATAAAGAATTTGATTGGTCCATTGACTCATGCATAAGAAAATGGGCCAATGAAATTCCTTATGCACATGCTTTATGCGTTATGCAAAAGCTGTGCTCCCCGCTACTCTGTGCCATGAGCTGAAGCTTCGCTGCATGAAATGGTATCTTGAGGTGCCTTGAGGTTTGAAGGATTTAAATTGCAGAGATTTTACTCCTTTTTATTATTCCACGTTCGAAATTTAACAGGATCTCTTCAATGCGATATGAATGTTGTGCTTGTAACTGGCGGTAGCGGCCTCGTTGGTAGAGCTATTCAAAATGTTATCGAGAATGACAAAAGAGAAAACGAGAAGTGGATATTTGTTGGATCCAAAGATGCAGATTTGTGGTAGGTTAGATTAAGTAACTGAGGTTAAATCAACCCAGATGTTAACAAGATTGTGTTGACAATTGCAAAAATGCTCTTTAAATGACATTAATTTTAACTAAATGACTTTTGTAGTGATAAGGAGAGTACACGTAAGTTATTCGAGTATCATAAACCAACACATGTCATTCACTTAGCTGCTATGGTCGGTGGTCTCTTCCACAATATGTCACATAATTTAGACTTTCTGGTAAATTTCACGAAGGATATGGTATCTTTCATAGTTTGTGTATTAATTTGTTTTATTGTAACTTTAATCGTGATTTTCATATTTTTTATTGCAGCGAAATAATATACACATGAATGATAACGTTCTACATATGGCTTACGAGAACAATGTCATGAAAGTTGTCTCATGTCTTTCCACTTGTATATTTCCTGATAAAATATCTTATCCTATAGATGAAACTATGGTAATATATATATTAGATATAACTACAATTAATGTGTATATAGATTAATACATATATTACGTGTATTTCAGGTACACAATGGACCACCACATTCTTCAAATTATGGTTATAGTCATGCCAAGCGACTCATAGATGTTGCTAACAGAGGTTACTATGATCAGCATGGCAGGCTATATACTAGTGTAATTCCTTGTAATGTATTTGGTCCACATGACAACTTTCATCCTAATGATAGTCATGTAATACCTGGTTTAATGCGAAGACTTTACGATTTATGCAAAGATGGTATAAAACAAGCATCTATCAGTGTTTTGATTGAGAACATAAATTTTATATATAAATATTACTTAAACTTTATATCAAATTATTTTAATTCTATTAGGAAATACAGAAGATAAAGTGTTTACTGTATTGGGTTCTGGTAAACCCTTAAGACAATTTATCTATAGCATAGATTTAGCAAAATTAATAATTTGGGTATTGCGAGAATATAATTCTGTGGAACCAATTATACTATCGGGTAATTATTCATTTAAATATAGTATTATTTTCCTAATTCTTTTTTTAACTTTATAGTAAACATTATTTATCAATGACTTTGTAGCTGTTACTATTTTTACTCTCGGTAACATGGAATCTTTAAAATCACCAATTAATATTATGATTTTCAATACTAATGGTTAAATTTTAATCTGTAAAGAATAAGTTAAATTTTTTGATAATAGATCGTTAAAACATATGATAATAAATATACCAGAATTGTTGTAGATTTTATGTAATCTGCAACATTAAAGGAATTTCCTTTATTTTTTGATGACTTTTGTTGACGGAAGAAATAAAAGTTCCATGTCGTTGACAAAAAATTGAACAATGTTGTAATATTGTAATTATTAATGTTGTTTAACTTTATAACAAAAATTGTAAAAGAAAAACGATTATTTTTAGTGGACGAAGCGCAAGAAAAATCGATAGCACAAGTAGCAGAGACGTTAGCGCAAACTTTTGAATTTAAGGGAAAGGTGATATATGACACGTCGGCAGCGGATGGACAATTCAAAAAAACAGCAAGCAATGCAAAATTACGGAAGTACCTACCTGATTTTCAGTTTACGCCTTTCAAACAAGCGATTAAAGAGACAGTTGATTGGTATATAAAAAACTACGATCAAGCGAGAAATTAAAATAATGGAGTTGCAAATTTTGATAACGCACACATAAATATATACACACACACACACACACACATATATATACACACAAATTGTATAATTTTATTATAATGTTAAAAAGTTATTTTTGAAGTAAATTATCTTTATAAAATGTAGTATTTGTTACTCAGAAAGAGCGAATTCAAAGCTTTTTGTTAACTTTTATAGACTAGTTCAATCAAGGCCTCTAAAATTCATAGTAATTTCGGTGAGTATTTTCAAACTGTTAAATAAACATTTGAGGATACGTAAATATTTTTATTGATTTGGAAAGTTACCTATCGATGCGCATACTAAACATAGATCCAGGCGAACACCTGCGGCGATGCATTTATTTTCGCTCGTTCGCAGCACTCTTAAGTATATTTTAGGTCAGTTTGCGCATAACTTTAGTCGACAGACCGCTTTGTACTGCGACTTATTGAGTACTACAATGTGAAATGTAAATGAATTTTCAATTTTTGTAAGTTATTGTAAGCAGAAAATTATTTTGTTTTATGTTTTAAACTAGTCACATCGAGAACCTCTCGCTCTGTCCCCCCCCTTTCACATCTTTAATATATTATGTATGTATATGTATATACATATATATAATATATAATTAAATAAATATATAAAACAAATCGACAAGAGTCCGAGATTTTTATTAATTTATTCATATATGTATACATATATAGTGTATATACATGTTATATATATATTTTTTGTTATAATTTTTTCTAGATCTTTAGAATTAATTTTTTCTTTCATGAAAATGATTTTTCTGAATTAAGAGATACAGGATCGGAAGTAAAACTATTCTAACTTCTGTTCATATATTAGTGAATTTTTAATTTGAGATTAAATTAATTTTTAATAAAATATCCGAAATTGAAATGTCGCATATATACTGCTAAGAGCTTACATGCTAAAGCCTTTTAGATAACGAAGATCCGTTTGACGTTTTTTAAAAATTAATTTGTGTCTTATTGAATTGAAAAACCGACTAAAGGACGATGTCCGTCCACTTACAGCCATTGTCCATTACAGCTATTGTAATATCCTCGATAATACGAAGGTAAAGAGAAGGATTTTAATTAGCCAACGTCAGTACAATCGGCCCAGATCCCGAGAATAATGGACAGGAAATAAAAGATCGGTTAGTTGAAGAAAAAAGGTCACGGTAATTTTAGCAATGGCGAGCGACCGCCGTGTCATGTCGATCGATTCGAGTAAAGATGAAGTGTGTGTCTTTATCGAACTCCAACCAGCAACACGAAAGACTTCGTTCTGGTGATCGTTTCCCCCGAGAAAAATTAATTGTCGCTTTTCTCAAAATGTATCGCTATTCATACAACATTTTTGTTACCAAGATCGAAATCGATCGATCCCGAGCAGATATAATTAACCTTATAACTTTAATAGAATCGGATATAACCGGTTCTTTTTCACTCGCAGTCTTTCGATTAAATTACAATTCTTCGATGAAAAATTTAACATCGCTATTTTCTTTGCAGCTCGTTTATTCTTAGCATTCTTATAGTGTAGTACATTGAACTAATCGAATTAAAATGGTTGACTAACAAAGGACATGAAAACGAAATAAACAGTTGATGTTAAATAAAGAGTGATAGTGAAAGTTTATAATTTTTTGCAACTGTTCATAATAATTTATGATTAATAAAATTGCAGTATATTGTACAAATCTTACATATAGATACTTTAATTAAATGAAAAAATTGACTGATGAGATTATTATTATAAGTTCAGTTTTGAGGTGTTACGAACCAATCAGAGGGCTGTATTATAAGCATTTTAAGACATAACTTAAATCAGTCTTGAAATAAGAACCGACTATGAATACCGGTCTAAATACACATGATTAAGTAAAAAACGCCATATTTGGTCAAAGTGATGATTCTTTATGTTTAATAATATTTTTTATAAATTTATATAATTGATTAATATATATTTTGGATGCTACGGATAATTAGATCAATAAAATTGTATAATAATATAACGTAGAAATATTAGGTGTACAAATTAATTCTCGGCCTTTTTTGACTAACTTTGACATTTATTTATAAAAACATGAATACAAATTCAATCTTCAAAGTAACCTCCCTCGCTATCTATACATTCTTTTTCATCTCCCCAGGCAATTGCCGTATTTCAGATCGGAAAAATGATGGTGGCTTTGAATTAATGAATTCATCAAGGCTTTTTTCGACCTCTTGAACTGATTTGAATCGAGAATCAGTTAGGTGATGTTGTAGGGCTCGAAATAGGTGATAATCCGAAGGGGCTAAGGTCGATATTCATAGTCAGTTCTTATAATATTCAAGACCGTCTTAAGTTCAGTCTTAAGATATCACGAACCAATAAAATGGCTGCATTCGCGTCTAAGACAGTCTTCAAATAAGAACTGACTATGAATACCGGCCTAAGTCTAGAGAATACGCAGCATGAGGAAGAATTTCCCAGCGTAAATCGGAGATGGTTTCCAGGTTTTTTACCAGGTATGGGGCCGGGCGTTATCCTGCAGCAGTATCATCTTCCTTCTTTCACTGCCAATAAATGGCCTTATTTTTTCTTCAAGAGCGTCATTTACACGAATCAATTGTTGTTGATAAAGCTCAGCAATCACGGTCTGATCTTGTCGGAGCAACTTATAACGGATCACGCCTTTCTGATCCTACCAAATGCATAGCAACACCTTTTTTGTATGGATGTTCGGTTTTTGCGATGCTCACCTGGATGGATCCATGATTTTCATCTTTTAGGATTCTCGTACAATATCCACTTTTCATCACAAGTAACAATTTTGTGCAAAAAATCTTTTTTCTTGAACCTAGAGAACAAGGAAAGAGCAATATCGTGGCGTCTGCTTTTATTTTCGGAATTGAGCTCATGAGGGACTCATCGGGATTCCTTGCAAACCCTCCCCAGCTGTTTCAGGCGATAGGAAACATCTTGCTGGGTTACTAAAAGCGTATTTGCAAGTTCTAATTGCGTTTGGCAAAAATTCTCGTTCAAAATTTCCTCCAACTCCACGTCTTTCAATTTTTTTCGTTGACCATCACGATCCTCAAGGTCGAAATTTCCCTCTCAAAACTGTTGGAACCATTTTTCACACGTACTGTACGATACAGCATTCTCGCCCAAAGCCGAACAAATCATTTCTTTTGCCTCAGCCGTGCTTTTTTTAAGTTGAAACGCGTAAAGAATTAAGGCAGTACCTCAAATGTTGCTTTTCGAACGATATCGTGTTTATTGCTGATTTCTCAGATTATGTTTGCAGGAGGATCAAGTATTGTATCCATATAAGTATTACATATATCGATTGTATCTCATTTTAAAACTATATTGGGGGGGGGGGAGTTCAATTTAAACGGGTTCTAAGGCCGCTGAAAGGTAGGGCCGAGAATTAATTTGTACACCTAATATATTACAGGTATTTTAAATCATCATGCTTGAGTTTTTTTGCATAATTATTTTAATGACTTAATTTACATACTTGAAGATCTGCATTTAACTAAATTTTTAGATATTTCAGACAAAATCGTTGTAGGAGTATACGCGTGATTTGTATATGTATGTATACACACAAATCAACCAGAAAGAATTGTCACATGAAGAATACGACGTGCTAGATTACAGATCAGTGACGCGCATAGCCTGCGGTCCACAGAGAGTACCTGTAAATTTTTTGCGACCCGCCAATTCATAGTCGAAAATATAAAACTATATTTTCTATTTTATGCAAACGGAACAATCATTACGCGATTCAAAGTATTTCACCTATATTTCTAAAAAATAATTCTCCGAAAGTGACTCTTAAAAATGGTTGCGCATCACTCTGTACGTTAAATAATAAATTATTTAACTGCGGAGATCGACTTGCGGAACGTATTTCGGCAGCCGCAGATAAATCAAATAAAAAAGAAAAAAGGGGGACGCGACGCACACACGCGAGGAAGAGATGGAACAAAACGTTTCCCGGGGTGCAAAGCGACGCGGTGCAACGACTAGCGACGACGCGACGCTCGGCGTCGAGACGCAAGCGCGTTTCGATTCCGCCGCGACGGAGGGAGATTCGCTGGTTAGAAGGAGGGAGGCATATCTTGGGTGCCATCTCGAAGCCGGCACGGTTCAGTCAGTCGCGCCTCGGGGTAGTTCGGTTAAGTTTAACGTGTGTGTCACACAATGCTCGTTGGTACCAAGATGTGCTCTTCTCACGGTGGTGGCGCGAACGCAACGTGATCACACACTCTCAGCAGAGTCGGCACCAGTCGGCACTGGTCGGCACGTGGCCGGTGATATATAGCGTGGTGCGGCAGCGAATTTTTCGATATTTCATTATTTAAAGGGGAGAATCAAACGGAACATGATGTTAAGGAGGCACGAAGTTCCGGGGCGATCTCGAACCCGGTAGCGGTCGATCTGCTCCCTTCCGTCGCAGATATCTCTTCAGATAGCACTTCAGTGGGCTAAGAGAAGCGAACAGGTCGATCGACGCTATTTGGCGATCTTATAACGCGCGTCGTCGCGTGGAGCGTCGACGCGTAAACGAAACGCGAATTGTTTCTCCTTTTATGTTTCACGAGAAGGCACGCGGGCTCTCAAGAAGGACGCGGGCTGTCAAGAAGGCGTCTAACGAGAGTGAGAGGATTAAAGAGACGCGCGGGGTCGCGCGCCAGTGATATATCGGTCGGCCGATGGAACCGAAGCCGAGCGCCGTCGTCGCCGTCGACACAGCGTCGTCGTTCACGCAGTGAGCGCGCTGCTCCGAAAAAGATCTCGAGAACGGACAAGTTCGGTTATTCAAGAACGACCAGGTGATCGTCAGTCGTGAAACATTGAAAATAAGAGGGCTGACATCGTTAGAGGTGTGTATAGATTATTGAAAAATTATTCTGAATAAACGTTAATAAAAATTGTTTATTTGCATATAGAATATACCATTTGATTAGAAAGTAAGCTCTTAATTTCCCTTTAAGTATATCACTTGTTATGT